TCATCAGCCGTCCGATTTGGAACGTCCTGTTCAGAGTTTACCTGTTGGCCATTCTCATCTGCCACTACGTCTATGTCCATCTCCTCATCCATGTCCTAGAGAAATGCAATAGACCAGCATGATCTACTGAGATCGCACTTTTCATGAGTGTGCTCTTCGTGATCAACAAGGAATAGTATGTTGCAAAGAGAGAAAAAAAGAAGAGAAATATGACCGAAAAATGCTGATGAGGAAAATTTCGAGAACTCGCGAGAAATGATGAAACTCGCCCCAAACAATTTGCACATTTTGAACTTCGCGCGCAAACGAAGTGATAATAATGAATGAAAGTGGAAGTGATCATTCCCGTAGGAGACGGAGTACTAGAACTTGGTCCTTTGGAACCTATCTACGTTTGACTAACCATGACTTACCCTTTACTTTTATTTAAGCGATGTTAAACTGGGAATCACTCGATTCCTAAGGTCTAACATCGGCCTTAGACCTCGGTCAGACTCGGCGGCTGCGTCGCTGTACACCAGCAACGGAGTCGCCGGCGATAGAGTCGATGGACGGAGTTGCCCGGCACGCCGAGTCTGACCGAGGTCTTAGCGTTCACAGCTGGGTCGGGTGCACATCTCTTATGGGAGCTGAGGTAGATAGCAATGTGAGTAACGGTCGGAAATTCCTCGGCGAGGTGTATTTGTCTGGTGCGAGGAGGAAGAAGTAGCACTCAAGAATTTTGGGAATCTTAGACGGGGAATAGATGAGGACAGCAGGTGCAATGTGCGGGAAATGAAATAACGGCATAAAACGCCAATTTGCTGCCTCAACAGGAGGATTACCCCTTACGCAACTACCACTTCTCACTGAAACCGAGAGTGGTTACAATCACTACGGAACGAGAAATCCGTGACTGAGATATGGTCGATTCGCGGAAGGTTTTGGGCGAGCTGCTTGACTAGTGTAAGAAACCGGAAAGTGCGCGAGGTTAGGCTGGTGTCAGAGTCCGCGATCCGTCGCAGGTTTCGCTGATTTTCGCGATTTGCGCGAAACCTGCGACGGATCGCAAAAATTGCAAGTGCCCATTTGAACATTTGAAACACTGAATATGAAACAAGTGGAATCATGAGCAGTCGTCATTCAGCCATCACTATCAAGCAGAAGTGGCGGCAGGATTGGAGAACACCTTGCAGTATTGATCGGGCACTTGTGATTTCCGTGACCCGTCGCGTGAATCGCGCAAATCGCGAAAATCAGCGAAACCTGCGACGGATCGCGGACTCTGACACCAGCCTCACCTGTTTCCTTGGAGCAAGAATTTGCTCCTTTCCTTTCTCACATAAAAGCGGTATTTGAGCTAAATAGAGGAAATGAGGAAGACGTCCACCAAATCGAAGAGTCGCGACGAAAAATAGAAGGTCTCCGGCCCCGAGACTTTCTCCAAACATTGAGGAGCGGCCGAGTCGGTACTGCCCACGAACTCTGCGGAAATTTGAAAACGCTCCATCAGCACAGTTCACGCCTGCTACCAACTGCGCCCCAAAGGGCGAAGGAAGTCTCGAACCAAGATCTCCTGTCCCTTCCTTCGCTGCCCGATTTCAAATCGTTGTCGTCGATTAAAGAAGGGCGTCTGCAGTTCACCCGAGTCTCAGCAATTTGACGTCGACGAGTTGAACGGGGTCACTCTTCTGCTGTCCCGGCCATTCCTAGTTTTGTAAGATTTTGTTCTGATGAGCGTTGAAATCGAAACTGCTTCGCTCACCTATCAACTTTTGGTGCCACACAAGTAGGGTGGGCAGGCCGCATTTTTTAACAGAAATGTACAGTCGATATCCAAAAGTTGGGGTAGGCGTGTCACCGGAAGTGACGTGCACTTGATAGAAGTTGCGTGGATAAGCTGTTGCCAGCATGCTTTGCTGATATCCAGCGATGTATGTTGGAAGCAGCTTATCCACATAGCTTCTATCAAGTGCACGTCACTTCCGGTGACACGCCTACCCCAACTTTCGGATATCGAGTATATATAAGTTGGACCTTACCCACTAATACTGTCACGAGAATCGGGGAATTCGTGAGCCAGGGGGAGTGTAGCCAATCTAGGGGGGGTGGGGGGTGAGGGCAGTCACTTGACATGCGTGAAAAGCTGGGCATGTGAACTCCACTTGCATAGCGCCCAACTTTTACACTCAAGACCTCAATGTGTTATTTTCCAACGGAGCTTTGTCCGTGGGGGTGATTCGATGCCCTGATTATGAGAATGACATACATATTTCCGCAAGCGTCAGTTCACGCACTTTATCACGCCAGCTTTTCCAGCAAATTCTTGGTAGGCTTCTGTGTAGAGCTAATTTGATGTCTTGCCTAAGAATTTAATATTCGTTTTAGCACCAGCGCTGTTTAGCTGATGTTTTCTGCTCGGGCTTTGCCACTTACATTGCTTAAAGCAACAGTCCCAGCAGGGTTTTTACCTTCGACACTAATGGTGTGGAACGATGCGCTAGCCCTAGTCAAGAACATAGAAAGTGTGACTGAACAAAAACTCACCTTAACACGTTGACGACATCGCGCGTTTTGTGCTTTTGCACCGCGTGGGACAAGAGCGATTTTGCGAGCGCCGCCGCCGCACACCAAATCCATGGATTTTGAGCTGTAAATACGCAATACTTAGATGCGATGAAGTGTTTTCAATAATGTTCGATCTGTCTAACTTATCGGGAGTTACAGTAATGGAAGTTCGACCGAAATGACGTGTTAAGGCCATGAAAAGGCAAATTTTACTTACTTTCCCTTTAGTGGTTCCAAAATTAATTTGGACGTGGTTGTTTCAGTAAAAACACATATCTTCCCATACGAATAGGTTTGTATTCACTTCTATTATTCCTTTTTATCAACATGTCTACGTTATGAAAAGAAAACGAGGAATGAACTGAACAGACATATCCGTAAGGTCTGGAAAACCTCTGCCAAACTAAAGAATATTTGGCCTTTCTGTGAGCCATGTGGTTTTTAAGTATGCTAATGTATGGCCTATAGAATGAGTACAAAGACCTTAGGAATAAGTCGCGCAAGCGCAAGAAAAAGGGATGACTTGGGTGGGACGCGTTACCGCGTCACAATGTCCCACGAGGTGCGCAAAGTGGGACGCGTTACCGCGTCACGCTGTCGTCAACGTGTTAAAAGCCGCACCGGAGCTGGACAGCTTCGAAGTGGGCGTGGTTAGCAATCAGCTGAGGGGATTGCAGCCGATGGTTAACCGTTTGTTAAGTAATGTGTATTGTCTGTTTTCGCGCGTGTTTTCTTTGGTTTCTCTGACGCGCGCTTTCTTTGACTTGTGTTTGCATTGTTCCTTTTGGCGCGTTTGAGTTGGTTTCTTTTGAGGGTGTGGTTAACGGGTGTTGGTACTTAGGACAGAAAGCGACATTTTCGCGCTTCGCAACGCGACATCGCGCGGCAGGCTGGCGCTCCCGCAGCGAAAACACTACGGTATGAAGAACGCGCGATTGGAGCAGCTTTTTTGCATGCGTGAATTTGTAAGTTTCTGATTTATTGCTTGCCCCGCTCACACTCATTGTATTGAGACATGCGGTGAATCACCAATTCTCTCTCATCAATGGAAATGTTTTGTGAATTACACGATTCCGAGCGATGCCGTTAAAGTGGTATTCTAGAATTCTAGAACACTTCAAATTATTGGTGAACGAGGTAATTACACACTCATCGGCCTAGGTAATACTCTATATATCATAGCAAACTGACGAACTGATCCTTTGTCGTGAGTCTCATCGAACGTCCATCAACCACTCCTCTTCCAGGGTCTACCATCCATCCTCTGCAAAATTAACCTACCTCTTTCTTCACTGCTAGTTAGTGGTCCTCTTCTGGTGGCCATTTCCTCGTTCACTATCAAGTCCATGGTTAGTAAGCTTCAAATTCCTTGTCGCAACTTAGAACCAGAGCAAATAACGCGCTCCATTCACGCGCCCCTCGTACCGTAGCTGTTTTCGCTGTGGGAGCGCTGGCCTGCCGCGCGATGTCGCATTGCGCGAAAATGTCGCTTTCTGTCCTAAGTACCCACACCCGTGGTTCACTGCCAAAATGCGATCTTTTCGTACTTCGCAGCGCTAAACATTTTTCGCTGTTGGAACCTCAGGTCCATTGATGATCAGTGGTGGACTTGAGGCTCTTGCAGCGGAAAATTTTTGGGTACCCCCCAGGAGGCCCATCGCGCGGCAAGAAGGCCGAGTCGGCGGACGAGTCGCGGCGCGTGATGTGCGATGAAGGACGTGCAATGGGACATTCTATTTAACTTGACGCGATTTCCCTAATACGCGCGCAACTCGTCCGCTGAATCGGCATTTTGCCGCGCGACGGGCCTCCTGGGGGGTACCCGAAAATTTATAAACCCCTGCGAAATGCGGAAAAAGGATTCTTTCGCGCATTAGCTGAAAGTGGGTGCTAACTTAGTTGGGGGGGGGGGGGCACGCGGCGGCGCGGCAGTCTGCTCACCTGGGCTCTCTCGAGCGAGACAGTGTAAACTCGAACATTCCAGCTTTTCACGCATGTCAAGTGACTGCCCCCACCCCCCACCCCTAGACTGCCTACACTCCCCTGGCCCACGGATTTCCGAACATGCCAGGCGAGCAGACTGCGCGCCGCGTGTGCCCCCCAACTAAGTTAGCACCGCTGAAGTTAGATTCTTGTCCCCCCGCCTTCTGGCTTACAGTTGTAGGTTACAGTCAGTATTCGCCGACTGATAGGCGTGTCGATGTGTTTGACGTGGCCATCGCCGCACTTGATAGAATTCGTGTGGATGGCCTGTTTCTTAAACTGGTGTCAGAGTCCGCGATCCTTCGCGCGATTCGCGCGAATCGCAGAAATGCGAGTGCCTTATTTAACATCTGAAGTACTCTTTCGAACTTTTCTCGAGCAGTGCTCGGAATTACGTAGTCAAACTGAAGGATATTCACAGCAGTCTTGTCGCAGCTCGTAATGGCGTCGGCAGCAGCGAACGTAATGGAATGGAGACAAATTGTAGACCGAGTAATAACTACATGGGGTGGTTACCAGCTAGGAGTGGATTTCAACTCTGGAGGGCCGGAAACGTTAGCAAAAGATGAGGCCAGTTGAAATTCTTGTACTTTTCTATGAAAACTGTGTATTTGATTATCAGTTCCTCTATGAAGGCTAGAAGGCGCACATGTTGCTAACTGTCAGGAGCAAATATGGGGACCCTGTCCCCGTTGAAGCCATAATATCATTGATATGTTGCAGTGTAAAGTTTTTTGGGGATGAACACAAATTTTGATGTGTCGAAATTTTGAATTCTCGAATTCTGTCGAAACACCAGCGTTCAGCAGCACAGATTTAAAGACTTAGTGATTAGTAAAAAAAAGTAAAAGAAAATTTACAGTAGGGTTGTTATTTTGGCGCAACAATGTTTGACAAGTGCAGTCACTCCAATTTTCGCAAGCGATAGAAACCCTGGGACAGGTGAAACAATTTGTTTGTGCAAAAAAAGAACTGTGTGAGCAGCAGTTGTTCTAAGCTTTATGGTTAAGGAAGCTGCTTGTAGGGATTGTTCTGCGCCTAGTACACATCCACATACCAGAGTACACATCCGTACTTATGCGGTTCGCGCTCTGTACCAAAATACACATCCCTATTTGAGCGGAACCAAGCAGAGGTTCCCTTCATTTGTGAGTGGCTTTGCTACTTTTCACTCAAATGTTAAACGCTCTTCATCAAGTATTGTATAAGTCGTGTCGCCTCTCTTTTCAAGTTGGAATTTTTTGTAGTCTTAGTTCTTTAATAACATGTTGTTCGAAAGTGAAAAAGCACCTTCAACATGAGAGAAATAACTTCATAGCGGAGAAGATAAGAGCTTTCCTCCCAGATTTTTCTCTTTTTACTGCTCATTTTCTCAACAATCAGCCATAGCCATCCGACCTGTATCACCTGTCGTCCCGTTGATCATCGAATTGCTCGAGCGGGCGCCAGCAACGTCTCCATTCGTCCCTGTCGCGTGCAAGAGTTGTCCAGTGGACCCTCCTCGCTCGAGGGACATGTCCTTCATTCCTTTCGTTCAGAGCTTTCGTGAAGAAGTCTGACCATCGGGCCGGCGGTCGTCCAGGTGTTCGTTTGACGTCCCGAGGGATCCAGTCGGTAACCGCTCTGGTCCAACGGTCATCGCAAAATCGCATGACGTGTCCGGCCCACCTTATCTTCGATTCCTTGGCGAAAACGGCAGCGTCCCTGATCTTCGATCGTTGGCGTAGTTCGGCACTCCGGATTCCCCTCTGCACTTGCGTGTATAGGGTTACTCCTAGCATCGTCCTCTCGACAGCGCGTTGGATAACGCTGACCGCATGCTCGTCCTGCCTGCGCAGAGTCCAAGTCTCTGAGGCGTAGGTTAGGGCAGGAAGGACAGCGGAATCGAAGAGGTGGGCACGGAGCCGGATGTTCTTCGTCTTCTTCACTACTCCCTCGATGTTCTTAAATGAAATTCGAGGAGGCGCATAGCTCGATGCTTGAAGGAATTTTGCATTTTATTTCTAATTGCTAATTTCAGCTTTTGAAATAAGTGATTGACCGCTTTGTCGCAGAAAATTTTTCGCATCTCTGACTACGACTTTCCGACGTGCCCTACCCTATTCACGACGAACAAGCACATACCATTCTATCATAATAATTTGGGCCTTTGAGACCGGCCCATTACTTGCTACACCTATGTTGAAATAGCTTGCATGATTTCTGTTCAATTCACGAATTGGTGGCGCGAAGCTAAAAAAACACAACAATTTGCAAGAAAACAGAACGTTTCAGTATCATTGCGACATACGTGCCTCCACGGCGCTGATGCAGGACCATTTACCTACTTCCACTACTATACAATTCGCGCGCCAGCATGTTGACAATCGTCATATTCAACAGAGATGGCCCGAAACGACGAAAGTTATGTGGTAGTGATCCGACTTTACCGCTTTTGGTTCAACGTTACCACGGCGGACGCCCGCCAATAAGCAGGACAAATGCTAGAGAAGAAAAGGCTAGAGACCATGGCTAAAATCGCTATTGAGCCTCTCATTTTTGGAGATCGGTCTGTCAGCGAAACGCCATAGCCATTTCCAATTGTCCGGCGGGCTTTATTCCTCTCTAAATTCATAGATATACACACACGCGCAGTCGGCAATTTCGTCACACGGAGTCAAGCAAGGTTTTTTTTTTAATGTTCAAATGGTGGCAGTGATTTCAAATAATCTCAGTGGTGTTCTGGATCAGTGAGATATTCAGTGAACGTCCTCAAAGTGTGTAAATTAGCAATCTGAGAAAGAAGACACGGAAGTGTGGCTGTGTGCCCTTCACACTTGAAATGACTACATAGTTTTTTACAAGGGAATAAGGAGGCGAGGTGTTCGAATTTCAGTGATCTAGAAAACAGAAAGGATACTTGGATTAAAACGATAAAACATGAGTGAGAGTTCATACAAAGAGAGAAGAGCAAAGGGAAAAGATGATGCAACACAAAAGGGTGGCTCTTGGGTAACGCCGCAAGGCAGAAGAGGGAACGTGTTTTCAACACGAAACGCAACAGTTCTCGGAAACGTCTGCTTGCTTCGGAGGTCTTCCTCGAAGAAAAAGTTTTCCCTAAAAAATAGCAAACGGCCCTTAATTAATATTAAAGAAACTGAGAAAAAATAACATGAGAAGATTCACGAGACCGCCGTCACACTCGGCGACGGACAAGCGATGGAGCGACGCGATCGCTCCATCGCTTGCCCATCGCCGAGTGTGACGGCAGTCTGAAGTCATGGATGGACGTTTATTGAGCTATGAGAAGAATCTTAATATCCAAGCTTGGTAGTCCTTTAGGTGGTCATTGCAGTGGCAAAATTGGGAATGGATCTCTCAAAATCTTTGTATGTTTACTATCCACTTTAGTGGTTCAAAGAGATTGTTACCGAATACACGTTGACCACGCGTGGTCTGAAAGCAGACGATTTGGAGGAATGGTTGAACAGTGTTTTGTACACCGAATTCAACCTTATATTGGAAGACGAGAGCGTATACCCTACATCCGTATTCCTGTTAGAAGCCCTCGGGTTTGTTTTTTCATGCTTTTGTTTTTGCGTGTACTCCTTACAGATTAATTCCAGGTATTTGCGACACAACGATCGTGTTCATCTTGAACGATTGATGTCCACACTTCCTTCTGTAGATGCTGTGAGGGAGGTATGTAAAAATAGTGGAAGTGCTTGTGTAGTGTGGCCATACTTAGGATCAGTTTGCGCCTATTAAACTAGTGAGCATTTTTGGTTTTCCTGATATTTTCCCAACACCGTCAGAATAGTCAATGATCTTTGCATTTGCTAAACCCCTAGCGCATGCGCCAGGGCTGCCAGATACAGTCATGGGTAAGTAGTGCCAAGGCACATCAAATATCCGTGCAACTTCTTCAAGCAGACAACTATTGGTAAGCTTAGATGTGGTCCACTAGGGCAAAAAACGACTTTATCGCGTTTTGCAACGCGAAACAACGGGAGCCTCAGGTCCAACGCTGATCATGAGTGGACCTGGAGCTCCCGCAGCGAAAAATGTTTCGCGATGCGAAACGCGAAAAGTCGCTTTTTGTCCTAGTGAAACACACCTGGTAGGCTTTGGTGAAGGACTTGGTTAAAGGAAGCGATTACGATAGATCTCAAAGGGGTTTAGAGGGGACGTGGGGGTCTCAATAGTACGCCAATGGCGAAAAAAGCAAAGAAATCCGTCAAAAATAAGCAAAATAGTACCCCTTTGATTGCCCTTTCATTTTCGACCATGGATGAGCGACGGTAAAGAACGACGTTGTTCGGACGTGTTAACCCCGATAGCCGCCATCATGCCAACAAGCATAGTGTTTTGATTGATAAGGCAATACGTGGGCAAGTTGGAAGATACAGCCGCTAGAAGGGAAATGATCATCCAAAATGAAAAGCCAACAGCAAACAGTCCATCCAGATCATCAACAAAACTAGTGGGCGTCACGTCACTGGGGGCGGGGCGTCACGCGGGTCCTGCTCAGCAACCACAGCACCTTTCGCCGTGGGAGGCCACACATCGCTTCCTTGGCAGCCAAGTAATTGCTCCGTGTGGCGCAGGTTCTCCCCGATGCGAAAATTCCTTATCGTAATCGCTTCCTTTAAATCATTTTATTCTGCTGTCAAAACAATATGTGGAATAGC